TTCTTATCATTTCGTTGTTTAACGAGATCGCATTTAAGTAATCTGATTCATCACAAGCACACATTGTTAACAATTGAGAATTATCTCTGATGCGATTAATGAACGTGTTTTTACTGTAACTAAAAAAAAAAGATGCTATTTTTTGGAATGTTTGATATATTTAACTGAAATTGGAAACGTCCCGAAGATATTTGCAAAAACGCACAGCTGTATTGCGAAATATATTACACACGCTGTCAAATTTCGAACACGCTCGCGGTGTCGCGGAAACAACTTGCTAGCGGCGTTGTGAAATATCACCTGCCAACAATCCGCTGCATAAGCATCGACGTATTTCGGCTCGCTGTAGCGAGCGGGGAAAGAGTTAATATTGACGTTCCCGTTCATCTTGTCGGTAGATCTCGTATCTTTCGCGAAGATGTACGGCCTGTTGCGCGTTCTATGAAAACAATGTCAATCGTAGTACGATAAATCGAATCGCTTTGATCCAAGTACCAGCATATCACCGCCTCTTTCCTCCTCGTCATCTTCTTATCCGACGGTACCGAGAACCATTGAGAGAACGAAACGAGACGCGCGAAATCACGAGAAAATCAGACTGCATTCGGCGAGGGATACCGTGACGTAGACAGAGTTACGGATACGGATTTTTATGGTGGAAATTTTCCGCGAGTGAAAGGCCAGAGCGACGGGGCGCGAGTGAGTCGTTTTTCGGAGCGAGTAAAGTAATTCATCCCAAATCGAAGCAATTCCGTGGAAACGCGAAACCAATTTCGCAAGAATTGCATTCTGAAACCGTCCACGTGGCAGACCCCGGGGCCAAACAACCGACTCTACCACACGTAAGAGTGCCAAAACTCTCGGACCTTGAAAACCTTGGAGTTAGAGAAGCGATCGATCCTCTCGGAAAGAATGATTTCGGGGATATTCCCTTTCCTCGTTAACGAAAGCTGAATGTTGCAAAAGTTTTCCCTTTTTCCGGGATAATTACGTTCGCTTTCCTCTCAAACATCTATATTTAAGGATCCCCGGTGTCGAATATAAACGAGAGAAAAGCTTAACTTCTTTATCATCTATAATAACAACGCATAAATTTGTATCGCGATGTTTATTGCGGCCTTCGCTTGATACAAAACTTTTAGGATTAATCCTAAAATCCTAAAATCCTTTTCGGTGAGTTACGTGACTTATATGCGAATGGAGTTTCCAACAAGAATATTCGGGATCGCCCCTAGCAACCCAAGTATTCCTTACCCTCCCAACCTCGGTATCTCGTTTCTGGCTCCTGTTTTTCCTCCGCCTTTCCGCCGTCGCTGCCTCTTCTCTCACGGTGCTACGTTAACGCACCGTGTCTGAAGATAGTGGTAAAAGAAGAGATATCTCTCCTCTTCTACCGTTATTTTTTATTTCGTAGAAAACCGGCGCGGGTCGACAAGTCGAGAATACGCTACCGCACGGAAGGAGAAAGGATATTCGTCATCCGCTTAATTTTACTAATGGATCAGCCGGTATCCGTTCAATGAGAGATTACGAAACGGTGGGGTGACGGTAAGAGGCCACTACACAATTTTCTTCCCACTTGTCTTAGCTACGCCGACTTGCCTTTACCGCTTTTATTCCTCGTGCTCGTTTTCTTGCGCCACCGTGGCGTGCCGCGCTGAGTTACCGTTTTTCTCGTTCTCGCGCAGTGGCGAGAGGAACTTCTCGACTTGAATCATATCTTCTTCTCGGCGTGTCGGTATCGTTACCGACTAGTGTCTCGTTCGTTCGCGGCCACTTCTTGTTCCTTACAGGACGTACCGGTAAGATACGCAAAAACATTTCAGTGGAAGATCTCCGCGCGAACCGCAATGGTTTGTTGGAGTAAAGGAAAAGGGAAGTATTTGTTTCAGAACGTGATAAGCGAGAAGTGCAAAGTGGAGATTCATCTCCATTCTCTGTGTACGGGACATAAATTATACGGTTATACATCTACTCCATTCTAATATCAAACTTTACCGAGCTTTAATAAAGGATTTTCAAATGTTTTATGTTTACGCATATATAGACACAAGTAATTTATTTAAATATTTATATTATTTTATCTAGTAGAGATAAGTATGCGCGTCGCGATTGCTATACGAAGGAGTAATGTAAAATATTGATTTCGAGGTTCAGAATAAACAGACGCAGATGTTAAAAACGCAGCACAAAAACTGGCGCAGTGCCTTCTGTCGCCAACGGACGACGGACAGCCTGCGGCTCTTTACAGGACAATGCTAGACGAGGACAATACAAAGAGCCCACAAATTGGCTTCGATGGTTCGTAGACAGGCTGCCATTCGGGCAAATCAGCGCCGCGAGGTTACGGTCGTCAAATCAATATTTGCACCTCGCCACCCTCGCACACAGAGAGCCAGAGTGCAAAGTCAGGCGTGTCGGAATTAACGAAGAAGGAAGGAAGGAAGGAAGGAGAGAGAGTGAAGAGGGTTGGACCCGGCGGTGAAGGACGATGACGAGGGGGAGGGCGCGGGAGGAAACACGAAGATGCGGGGTGGTGGTGGTGGGACTACGGTGGTTGGTGGCGTTGGAAATCGGTGGTAAACTGAATTAACCCCGTGTTGACCCGCGACCGTATGTTACCAAATGACTTTCTATTACGTTGCCGGAGCCGCACGGATAGAGTCCATTATAATCGAGCATTGCTCAGAATGGAAAAGGAATGATCGAGGTGCCGTCAGCCAACTGGGATGCTTGTGCAAATGTTATACTTACCGATCGTTCGTGCATTGGCTCCGCTCGCGCGCGAAAGACTTGTTGGATTTGTTGGCCCCTGGCTTGGAAATATTTGCCGAAACAAGAAAGCACGCAGCAACCTTTTACTTTTGCGTATTAAAGCGGCGGAAGCTTAGCTTCCGTTCGCTGCAGCTAAATTCGAGCACGCCAACCTTCCAGCAATTTTTGGTATGTAATGCAGTCTGCAGCACATCGATCAAGCCGACGATTACGTTCTTGCGTTTTGGCTTTTTCGTGTCGACGAGCGACAGCACGAACAGACGCTCGGACGATAAGTTCTTTGAGTTTGATGCCTTTCAAGTTTGCAACATGGTTTAACGCCACCAATATTACAAGAAAATGTGCCGAGACGTCAAGGAACGTTTCCCCTTTGCTGTTACGTGAAAGCAGAAAGCTTTACTGACAACGCGAGAATAAGTATTCTCTGTGATAAATAAATTTATTAGAGAATAAATATGTATATTGAACTTTTTGGCATACGTTCTCTAATTTGTCAGTTTCGATCGATCGTAGGATAAACTCGATAGACTTTTCAATAATCCGATTCAATGTATAAGACTACGTAAAGATAATATTCCTCTGAATTATAAATTTATTATCTAATTGATAAAAATTTAATGAAAAAACAAAGCTGCCTTTTTGTTTTATCATACACTCAATGTCTTTTTATGTATACAAATACGTAACATGATTTTCGTAACTTTATAAAAATAAATATCCTGACAGCGCGTACGTCGTACTTCTCAGATTTAATGAATTTTTTTTCTGTTTTCTTTCGTTACTTCGAATTTCTTCGATTTAGGTCAAGGGAAGAAGCCAACTGACCGCAACTCAAATCAACGCAGGACACACGCTGTTTGCTATTTCCCCATGGAGTCACATGGGGAGTCGCAGAAAGCCAGTGAAACTGTCACGTCCCGTGCGCCGGAGCGGGTATAGGTGTTCGTTGATTGAGAGTAATCTGTTTTGTTAATTGCAAGGTCCGCAGAGCCCGATACCTGCGGTTGCGTTGTGCTGCGTTCAGCATTACAAACTCTCCTACTGGCACTGGTCGCTTCCACCTCCATCCGGGTGGTAGACCACCCGTTCTACCTCCCGTTCCTCACATCCTGGCTCACAACATCGCCGACCACAGTGTGAGCCTGTCGTCGAGAACAGCGCGGAGACTACGGGGGTCGGTTAACCGACTAATTGCAATACTGACGCGTCCGTTCGCAGTATTTGTGAAATTGCGATCATATCCGCCGACCTTGCGCGACGGCTATCATCGGATATAATAGACGCTATCCGCGCACGCCGTAACCACACCCGTCCGAACGCACGCTAATGGACCGTCAAAAGCGAAATTCAGCGTTTTTTCCGGTCGGGCCGCGTCATTTTTCAGAGAGCACGTCCGCTCCGCTCGGTTTTCAACAAGACCCGACGAGAAAAATATAGCGCGATTGTTATTGCTGCAGCGACCGACGATCGGCGCGTAAATGCAGGAAGTCGAGAAAGGAAACTGGTTTGGTCGCCGGCCTGATGAATACAATGCAATCACTCTTTTTTTATTCCCCGCAGTTAGCGAAAACTCGACTTCGCATGAAAAGTGAATATTTCATTTGCAAGGGTACTTCGAAGTCCTATTCGTTCCGCGCAATGTGGAAGCGAGACAATTAACGAGCCATAAGTTCTCTCTCGATCGTTACTTTGCATAATATAAGAAATTTAAATATAATGTAGAGCATATCGCGTAAAGAACTTTGTGTGATGCTACAGCGCGAATTTACTACAGGTTTCCTTATCCAGTAACTTTATAAGTCAACCAAATTGCGCTTATGATTCGTTTACGACTTGCTCGGAGACGTTCTTAAGATCATTCTCCTTCCCTGCTTGCACGTAATACGAGAATAATCATCTTCGCTAACGAGGAAACTTCTCGTAGCTTTCCTACACGGATATTCTTGAGATAAATAGTTACATTTATATAATTATCGAAATTTTAAACAGTCTTATACGGCTGCCTTCACTGGAAAGTTCTAAGCTGAAGCTAGAACTTTTGTATCTCTATTTTCTTGCAGTCAGTATTTGTTCAAAATTAAAAAATGAGATCTTTTAATTTTAAGATACTAATATAAATTCCAGTGTGTATATATAATATATATACTAAAAAAAAAAGCAAAAGAGATTGTCTCAAGATTGTCTCGTCGATACAAAAGTAGACTCAGAAAGCTGAAAGTACTCACCAGTCGTGTACATAGCGACACCCTTCAGGGTTACCGGCTCGAGTATGGCAGGCTCGCTCCTTCCCTTCGCATTAATCGCGTAGAGAAAAAGTCGATAGCTTCTTCCCGTCGTTAGTCCCGCGACTTCGAAAGTCGGCCCGTTGGGACCCGCCGGTACGGTTTTATTTAGGAGAATCGGACCTCCGTCTTCATCAGACACAACCTCCAGCTGATAACTATATATCGGAAGACCTCCGTCGTAGCCCTCCAGGCACCGGACTACCAGCCCCGTTCCCGATTTCGTGCCAAGCTCCTCCATATCCAGAGGAGCTGACATCTCCGTGGCACTGCAATTGTGAAGAGCGTACGGGCGACCCGCGGCTATAACCTGAAACAAGCAGACCGGAGATAAAATATATTTGTATTGATCGATCAAAAGACGCTTTATCGCATTTACAAATGATGCGCAGTTCAATTTCTTGCCCCGTAAAAAGAAGCCTAGGCCAAGCAGTACGCTCTTAATACTGCTTCCGCACGTAATACTACTGCATACAACTGCATAGTTTAACAATATAGTTTAACCGCTATGTTTACATCGTGCATTCCTCTATATCGCAATTTTCACAATAGGGGAAGGGCGATCGATCTTTCGAGCAACGGCAGTAAACGACTTTACACACGTTCGGGGACTCATATGCATGTCAAATACGAGCACAGTTTGTATCGTCAAAGAAGGCAACCCCCCCGCATTCTTTGTAGATGCCGTCGATCGATCAAAATGAAAATGTATGGAGCATAGTGATGCCGGAGTATACAATGCATGAAATTTATGAAGGAAATAGCTAGCAACATGACGCACGTCGTGTAAATACTGGAATATTTCAGGCATGCAGTATATACAGATGATTTAAACCACTTTTAGATCGAATATATCGATACGGCTAAGAATCGTGACCGACGTAATGATCGGGGAGAACGCCGTGTTTCAACCCTATCAAGAAGATCTCTCGATATCGGACGGAGATAACATCCTATATTACAATTAACGATAAAATACTATTTTTCATGAGATTTTCAAAGATACTAATAGAATTTCTTTTTATAGTATGCTAAGCAACCTGACATGAGTTATATATTTCTCGCGCATAAAATAATGTATGAAAATAAAAAGATTACACAAAAAATGTTCCCCGAGAGTGCGCTCGAGAATATATTTGACAGAAACTTTGATGTCAGGAGTAATTCATAAGCTATATTAATAAAAAAAATTATTTGTCGAAAAAAATAGAGATTTATACAGGATTATACGAGATTCTACAAACCAGAATAAAATTTGTACAAAGATCGGAAAAGCTTTATACACGTACAATCGAAATATTTTATTTAATATGTAATATCCATCATAAAACAAATGTGTATGTCTTTTTTTGAACAAAGTTTGAAATATGTCCATTTTTTCCATGTGTTGACATATTGTATTTCCAATTACATCGCATGCTCTAAAAATTTCGCGAAAGCATCACCGAGTTTAATAATTTTATGTCATCTACAAATCCTAAGAGTCTAAATATACAGAATGACACATTGAATCTATCACATTTATTTTATTAATAAATTATTTAATAAAGATTGACCCTAAAATCAGTAGTTTTTTCGCCTATTTTTGGTCCCGCGATATTGGAATTGAATTGTGTGTCAAATGATACCTTATAACAAGACATCAATCACAAAAAATTTTTAAGTTGAGGTGAAAATTGATTCCAGAGATATGAGAGGTCAAAGTAGTCAAAATTCATTAACTCGTCAGCCCGTACGCTTTAAAGCACGAATTTTTCTTTCAGTCCGATAATTTAAAACTTTGTACCCGGAGGTTTTGCTAGCTGCTGACAATGAATTTGAAGTCAGATTTTTCACACATACTTATGGATCGATTTACTTAACAAGAAAAAGAAATTAAAACATTTTTTAAATACATAGTTCGCCATATTAAATCGGCCATTATAAATTTTAAAAATCTGACTATTGAAATCTATTGAAATCAATATAAAGATTATTTCAAGAGAATATGACTTTACTATCTTTTTTATTCTCGTTTTTAATCATCGATTACACAGAAGTGACTAACGTATCGACAGTTGTATTTAAAATAAAATCTTTACCTCATCACTGTAGAGTGACGAAGTATATATTACTATAATAGAGTACGACAACAAAAAGAGGATCACTTTCTATATTTCAATGAAAGCGATTAATCTATGCGCACGAATGTACTTCGTATGCTCGCGCGTTAAGCTAAAAGCCTCGAAATTCTGAATCGCACGGACGGAAACCGCGCAAGTCGCTGAAACGTAAAGAAGCGAAAAGGTACAGGTGGAAAAGTACTTGCCTGAAAAAGGCAAGGTGTTCGTTGCTTGCCAACCTGGTTGCTCGCCCAACATGCCACCGTACCGTAATCCATTTCCGTGGCCGGTGTGTAGTTCAGTCTGTACCCGTGAAACTGCTGGTACTCTTTCAGGCTGTCTGGCGCGCCGGGCGCCGATACGTGGGAGTAACGCGAGTGTGGTACCTCGACGAGCTCGCCGGAATTATTGAATGTCCAATGGAAAGTCAATGGCGCCGGATGGCTCTCCACGGAACACACTAACGACACGGTCTCCTGTTTCAAAGCGCCAACCACCACTTCGCTCTTGCCCTCCTTGCACACCGGCGCATCTGCAAACAAAGTCGTCGTACTTTGCCAACGGTGGCCTTTCTGCGAACAACGATGGAGTAGCGCAAAGTTTGAAGTACAGAGTGATTTATGGCCCGCTTGTCAAGATTAATGTATAACAAAGTGTATGCAAGTCGACGTTCTTCTGCCCCGAGAAATTTCATTGTCCGATGATAAGCATAAAAAGCTATTCTGATTAATTTATGTTTCCCCGGGTCATGCTCCGTACATATAAATCGTAAATCAATCAGCATTCCATTCTTGTCGCGGAATAATATTAACGGCGAGTTTAAATGGATGTTCGACGTTCTGTTTCGTTGCACGGTTGCATCGCACCGTGCTTGCATGCGCACGCCCGATATCCCGGCGAGATCCGCGAGTGTCAAACGGAAGAAGAAGCAGCTCGACACCGTTCAGCCGGTTGCACGGTCGATCGATAGTCTAATAGGAAATTCCCTTGACACCGGTATTTGCGATAGGCGCATGACGTGCGGAAGTCCCACACGGCAGGAGTGATGATTTACGACCGAAGACTAGGAATCACGGATAGAGAGACTGTCTGGTTGCAATTTGATACAGTCTATGCGATACTAAATTAATTGCCAAGATGAGAAGTTGGAGAGATGCTACGCGTTACGTACATATCGACGTATATCACCAGAGCGATACGTCCGTTTACTAAAGGATAATATCTTACGTAGACGTTTTGGAATAACGTCCGTTCTCCAAGTTTGCGGATAAGAGACAGTAGTAGAGAAATCAGGCCGATCTCTTCGCTTAATGCGACGTATTCTGAAGTGGAAATCACTTTGCGAAATGCCACAAGGTGCTTTCTTAGACATGTCTCTCCCAGTATATCTTGCGATTCTTGTATAAACCAAAGACTCGATCGAGTCGTTTATTTTCTTTAAACCTTTCAACATAGTCATCTTATTTGATTCGCCTTCCATTCGTAAAAACAATATTTTTATGAAAATTCGCTATTTCATCGTTCGATAACTCGAACGATTTAGGGAAACGTGGCGAAAGACAGTTTTATATTTGACGCAGATACGTATTTTTGAAAAAGACAACTTAAATAACTTCGCAATTTCTTCAGAACAACCATTCAGACAAATTTGTTGATTTGTTTTTCCAGTAAAACATTCAGCAATTACGCTTTTCTCTCTACTCTTTATTCCAGCGAACGAATTAAGTGTTCAATAATAAATGTTCAGAAACCGTGGAACTCGAATCACATATATGTTTGTTAACTATTCAGTGGTCAGCAATCAATGCTCATTCATCATTAATCCTATGATCAAAGTAAAAATCAAGATCAAATAAATTATACCGCTGAAAATTACATTAATCCAAAGAACTCTATTAAGTTTCAAAAATAAAGAAATTCTTATAATTCTAGAGGTTTTCATCTGCGACAGAATTGCCGCTGTTGACAGAGAGAGTATGTAGATAAATTTTAATTTCTAATTCTTATTAGATTCAAAGTTATCAAGATTTGAATATACTTCAACACATATGTATAACAATGGATGTTAACAAACTTCTAAATTTGTGAATCAAATGTGTGTTGACCAGGAAGCTTTTCATACTTATACGATTTGCATTGCAAAGAGTTAAAGTTGTTGGAAGCGGAATCTATGGATCTTATTACCTCATATACTCGTATATATAAATATTGTAAGAACAGTTTTTCATTTTTTTTAAAAAACTTTATCGTTTTAAAATTACACGCATTTACAAACACATTTTAAAATATATTAGAATAAAACCACGTAATAAATTTGTATGTCTTAATACGCCTAATAAAGAATATACCGTATGTCGTACAAAATAAGCATGGATTTATTGCGTAATATAATATAATAAATCACATTATGAAAAATAATAAAAACTATCTAAAACGATTCGAATAAGATGCAAAAGGGAATGTCTTTTGCATGACATGGCGCGTCATTCGCACAATATTATATCGTGATGTGATCACGGATTGTTCGAAGTCCCATGTGAATGCAAAAGATCGACGTCGTCAACTCCGCAGGGGGGTTTTGGAACATCAGAACGGATCCGCGATCTCCTTCAGTTACGTGCGCCTCGCCGTACGTCTGCTCCGGCCTAGCTTAGCACATTGCCAGCCTGCGTTCACCCACACATGAATATTCAACTACGCTTTACATACATTGAATATGCATCGCAGTCCTTCCTTCCCTCTTAGGTCATTTACAAGATGCAGATACGCCAGGCTGGCACCAGGGGCACCGACCATTCTAATAGAATAACCCGCGTTCCGTGTTTCACAGAAAACTATACACCCTATCTCTACCGCGCGCTCCCCGTTCTATTCCCCCTTTTCCCCCTTTTATCCCTCCCCTCGACTTAACCGTCAAGTTCGTTTCTCATGCGTTCGACAAACACCCCTGTACTTGCCTCTGTGCACACCGCGGAGTTGCTTACCATCGATTAAGTAATTATCGAGGGATCGTGGCTGCGAGAGGGAAATTGGGAGAACCAATGCCGCTTATGAAGGACATACGCTCCAATGCTATTACGGCATTGTTTACCCGGGCCAATTTTCGATCGAGATAATTTGGCTATTAATTACACGAGAACCTCAACTTGTTAATTGTGCTTTCCACTTACACATTATCTGGAGCGACACCGGATTACTGGCCGTCTTTCCCTCGCTGTTCGCGGCGAGACAGGTGTAATCGCCGGCGGAGTAACGAGTCAATCCTTGGAGAACCAAAGAGTGGTCGCTGAGGACTACGCCCGCTGTAGAATTATTCTTCAATTCTTTGCCCTGAAACCACGTACAAATTGCCGTTGCAATACGATTTGAATTTAATACAAGTCCGTGTTGCTTAATTGCAATTATAATGTAATTTGAATGCTCGCGCGCTAACGGATGGAAACTGTACTGTAATAAAGAACGCGTGGGTATAGTACGCACGCGAGTTATCTAATGGAGAACGAATTACATTTGCATAAAGCGGCGGGAGAACGGACGGCGTGGGTGTGCAACAAAACGCAAATACACCGTGAAATGTTTCCTCGGATATCGTGATAGACACGCGAGTGTTCGCGCGTACTTACATCTTTGAACCAGGCGAGCTTGTACACCTTCGGATTTGCCCGCACTATACACTCGAAGTACACGTCGTCGCCCTCTTTGATGTCATCCGGATTCAGCGTTTCGCCCATCCTTAAGATGACCACCGGCTGGTATTGTACGTCAAGCCGCCACTTGTCCTCCAACGCGCTGTCTGATATATCAGGATTTTCCGCGCGGCATGTTAAATATTTACCGTCGTCCTCTATAGTTGGCACGAAACTGAGGATACTCAAGCTCTGATTGTTCTCGATCGGGTACTGTAATTAAATATACACGTTGATTTCGAAATTGAATGTTTTCAACGTAGAGCTGTGACACGCGAAACCGAAAATATAGATTTAATTTCGGTATCAATTTTCCCAGTACTGCAGAATAGAGTAACGCAGTTGATTTAGGAATCAAATGCTTCAAACTAACGATTCAACATATCGATTTGGAAATCAAACACAGCTTTATACGTTTTGCACAGCCCTATAACGTAGAATTTTCAAAGAAATGATAGATTTTCTCAAAAAACATTTTAATTCGTAGGAAAATTCGCGCCGTGTTTATATCGTATTCATAATGTAACTACTTTGCGAAATTAATTGAGATATATAACTCGCGCGATATTCAGATTAAAAAGTGGCCGGCCTATTGATCGCATAAACTAATCGGCCCATTAACAAACTCCGCTATCTTTACACGATTCGCACATTTCTCATTTCCTGCGTCGAAAGCGCCATTCCATTTTTCATGCGGCGTCACGCGTTTGCTGCTAATATTAATTTAACATCGTTGGAAGCTGTTAGGCCAAAGTGATGCCGAAATAAAAGAGCGCCGGGGATTAACGGTTTTTCAAGATTTATGATGCTTAGAGCAACGACGGGAAATGGAGGTCGAAGCCGGGTGCGGGTCACATCGCTGACGCTTCCTCTCTCCATCACGGCCCGTGTCCCTCCCGCTTTCGCGATGTCATTTTAATGATAGTGCCATCGGGCATATATATCGGAAAAGCCACGTATCCGCATCAGTATCGCGAATACGATGAATGGAAGTAATGGTTCGTCAGGATAAATGTGGTGCGTCGCTGTCTCTCACTCTCTTATACACCTCCACCGGATCGTGCCTCGTCTCCCTCGCTCACCCTCTCCGTCTCGCTTTCCCTATCTCGTGCATTTTTTTTTGTAAGCTTCGCTGCGTTGTACTTTCAGTGCGCCTCAGTGCGACGCGATCGAATTTTCCGATAAAACCCTCTGGACAGTCCAACACACGAGCATTGATATATCGCGCAGGTAGATCGTATACGCGAACTGACGTTACAGTCACAACGTTTCGCATACGTCGACCGAACGTTACCGGCGTAGCATTTACAAGCTACTCTTCTAAGAAGCATTTACAGCTCACTTTCTAAGAAGATGTGAACGCATCTTCATGGATATTAAAAAAAAACATTTAACTTAATCGATTTTATGCCTCTATGCAAATAAGACACAATTACTAATTGTAAGTCTGATGATATCTTGTTCACTTTCTCGTACTCTCACAAAAAATAACAAATCTAAAATTCTGAAATACGAGCGAAACATATAAAAAAAAAAAATACAGAATTTGCAAAGTATAGTCAATTTCTCATGCAACGACAAGATTACAAGGCTCAAAAATAAAAAAAAACGCGGTTTTCCTTTACATCTCTATCACATCAAATGTAGAAATGAGAGAGATGTTCCCTGTGAGAGATAAAAATTTATTCTACGTTTTCAATTTGTAACGCACTGAAAACCTGACGATGAGCTAACGTATTTATCGTATTTACCTACGTATGAAAAAATTCGTAATACAAACATTTTGTGAAATATCCCGTTATCACGTATGCGGTAATGGTCGTCACGAGTGCTTCAAACATTTTCGCTCGCGAATGATTATAAAATAATGGCGTAGTAAAAATATATATGATATAAGCATAAAACGGTAATGTCGCTCTGTTACCATAATCGTAAAATTCTGATACGTGGAAACACCGAATACTTTTCATCAGCGAAGCTTACTTAATATAATTTTATGTATTACTGTGTGATCTATGCAATATATTAAAAATGATAAAAAATTCGAACTCTACTTTAATGCGTATTCTGTAATCTATGTAGATTTTAAGTAAATATATTATATAAATATAAATAATTATTAAAATGAAATGTGATTTTACATTAAGAATTCTATAACGCAAGGTAAAACTTTACTTTACCACGGAAACTCATATTATTAGAATCAATTATGTTATATGTTGTTTCATATCTCTAACAACATATATGCGAATGGTGAAATTATCATATATTGCTTCATTATTGTTAACTAACCGCAGCTATAATATCGATCAAGCTATATCAGTTTGCATGTCGCTTTAATATCTATGCATAATTATCTTGAATATTATAATATCATGAATACACGCTACAGATACTATATCATTTAATGATCACAAAGATACCGATGAATGTTTCATATTTGCCATTTCAATTGTTAAACTTCAATAACCAACGTACGATGTAATTCAGAAGAGATGACAAAAACGATACGATCGTTATTTATTGAATCGATACAATATCGATCAACGCGCGGAACATTCTCATGCAAAAAAAAACAAGAAATAACACGAATTCGTGGAATATATGTATAGCTTCTCTCGAAGCAAGAAAAACAGTTATATTTAGGGAGACGTTTTAAAAATTTAACGCTCTCGGGTATAACTGAAACATTTCGTGCCACAGGCGATGGACGGGGGAAGGAGGGCATCTACGTCGAAAATAGGAAAAGAAAGTTAAGTCTCGAAAGTTTATCAAGCGAAGATCCACTGGATCGTTCGCGAACTTCTGTACTCTCTCTGTCACTGCGAAAGGAGCGTCGAGGTATGTCGGGGATCGAGGCGACGGGATGAACGGACGAATAAAGGAGAGGAGGGAGGGGTGCGAGAAGTCGTCCACAAGAAAAACGAAATAACTGCATCGTCCTAACTTCTGGACGAATCGTCGTAAACTGCGGCAAGTTACGGGACGTCGATTTCAGGAATTTTCCCCCGAATTGTGCGACGCACTTCAGCAATGCTTTCCGCTAACCGTTTTCAGAACTTGACACGAATGCTCGCATCCAGATGGCGGAAGAGATAACATATACAATATATATATAAAAACACTCAACGCAACTTTTCTAAATTATAGTACTCGGGATATGAATCGTGAATGAACTACGCTCTTCCTAGAATGCGTGAGCAATTTCGCCGACTTTCTTTTTCAAGATCGAACTTTGATTCCGAAAATCACTTGTAAAATTATATGCATTTGAAGAGTACAGGGGAAGAACGATCAAAGTCCACTTTTTGTCAAAATCTGATCATGCAGCTATCTAATATTTTCATAATTCTTATCTGTTTTAATCAAAAACAGTTATAATTTATTGGAAATAAGAAAGAATCCGATGTACCGTGCAGGAGAAAAACGATCATAATCCACGTGCTTGTGGGGAAGGACCATCAGAGTCCAATATACAATGTTATTTTGTAAAATAAATATTTGTCGGGTATGTCTGTGCAGCTATGTTAATCTAGTTAAAATATCATCTAGCAAATTTAATACGTGTAATAAAAAAGATAATTTTACATCGTAATAAAATAATCATAGGAATCAAATTATCGCTTGAAATATCCTGCAAATGGGGAATTAAAAGATTTACCGCGATACTTGAATTTAAGTAGTCACTCTCAATTTTACTCGCATTTTATAACAAGAGCATTATAAATTTACTTTCGTCACCAGAAAGTTACAGACTGAGTGTCGACATTTAACATCTTCAAATAAAGAGCCCGAGAGGGGAACTTTTTATTAAGTAGCCGAGAATGTTTGTTCTTCTTCCCGCATTTAAATGACCTCCTTCTTTAGCCTCCTTCTTTAGAATGATGTCTATTTTCGTTTCGCTCTACGCAACTTTTTTTTCACATACATAATTTACATGCAATATATATAGGGAACTTACGGTTTCAGTCGGCTTAATGATTGGCTTATTTGCTTTCCACCAAGTAATCATTGCTTCTGGTCGTGAACCGCTCGTGCGACATTCCACGTTGTAATTTTTGTCGGCTGAAACTCTCGTTTCCTTCGTCAGGATTTGAACTATCAACGGTTTTACTGCAACAGTGAAATAAATGTGGTTGTTTTCCTGTAATTACAGTAAACTATGAAGCGGTTTATTTTTTTAGGCGTTTTTATTTGCGAAAAAAAGAGATGCCCCAATTTAATAAGCGAAAAAGTCTATTTTTCGACGGAAAACAAGATGCAATTTGCATGCAACGTAGTTATGTACATTTACTATTCGTGGAGGTGTTTTGTCATTTAAAAAGGCAGATGTTTGCACATATAATATAATGTCTACGTTATAATATGAGAGATCCTATTGTATTTGCAATTTTCATTTCTCTCTCTCTCTCTCTCTCTCTCTCTCTCTCTCTCTCTCTTTCTCTCTTCATTTAAAAAAGATCCACGTTACAAAGATAAATAAAGTTACATCGTTAAGCATTATCTGTGCGTGTATAGCCAAGTTTCTGCTTGAAACTGGCGAATCTTAATTTAATCAACTTTATTCGGATCCCTACAGTTTCGAAGTTGCTCAGCGAGCGAAATCGTGAAAACGTTCCCGTTACATACAAAAACGATGGTGGTCAGTTTTGTACCAGGAAAAATCCGGAAATAAGATTAAACGGTCGGAAAAACGACGAAATCGGACTATCTAATTCCGAGAGAAACTGGGAAACATATTCGTAAAATCATTCCGAAATTTCGTCGCCCGACAAACTGAATGAGCTTCGCGAGCAATGAAAGAAATTAAAGAACGATGTGGACCGCGCTCAAAAATCG